TGTCTTTCACAAACAGACTGAAGCTACAGTCAGAGGGCTAAACTGAGGCATGTGCAGGTCATGCCAGGGTACGTATGTATGTACAGAACTACTGTTTCATAGTCAGATAACTAGGTTTGCCTCTTCTATCCACAGAGGGTGAAGGCTTCAGTCTGCCTCTATGCTCTCTGTTCTGCTGAAATTGTCTGCTGCCTATCTGCAGCCTACATAGTATTTCCTGTCACTCTTTCTGGAGCTTATTAACCTTCCTAACCTTAGTGTGCCATTTTTCAAGGGCACAGGCAAAGACAGTCAGTGCCAAGTAGAAGCTGAGTTAAAGCAACACAGGTCTGAAAAGATTCATTGTAAAGGATATACGTGGACTTGGCAGCAGCTATGTACAGAGCATTCAGATCATTAGATAAGCACATAATTTCTAACCACATGACTGCAATAGTTATGGAGATCAAAGTAAGTAAGACAATACTGTGATGGGATGTTTATGCATCACCTGTTAAATACCAACAACAAATCCTGCTGCCCAAAGCTGTAGTTATTATGTTTTCTAACAAGCATTTCTCACAGATTGCATATAACTAGTAAATACATTAGCCACATGAGGCATCTGGATGGAAAGAAAAAACTCTTCAGATCCATACCATGCATTTACACACAGAAAAAATATTTTTAAAAATCTGCTTTTATAACTTAAGTATGCACATGGAGTGAACACCATAGGAATGGCAGGGAGAAGGGAGAAAATGGAAGTGATCAAAAAACATCATAATGAACAAAGGAAGGTTCAAACCTAGACTGGAAAACTCATGTCACACACATAAATTTAAATGTTTCACTTACAAGCCTCTCCTTCTTTGGAGATCATGTGTTACAACTTTTGCTATAAAAGTAAGGAAGAACTACTAGGGAAGAATTAAAAAATATGATACTCAGTATGCGTTAGCAGTTTCATCCCCTGAAAATACATACTTACACTTCCCTCTTTGCAAAAAAAACCCCAAAAAAACAAAAAAACAAAAAAACGACACTTTTGCTGAAAAGGAGTTAAAGTTTTATTTCAGCTTTGATCTAGATTAAGTCGGTAATAAATAATTTCCCTTTTTTTCTCTGCACTTTATGTTTTTCTCAAGTAAGATACTTTAAGAAAAAGAAGTGAATTTTGATTAAGCACCAGCCATTCAATTAATTCTGTTTTAATTTATCAACTGATAAACAGTTATTAAGAAACATCTGTTACACCAGAATAATATGGTAGACAAACAAACCATAAAAATCACATTCTCCCTGCCCAGAAGTACCCAATTTGCTTGCAAGCATTTTCCACTGGTTGCAGTAGCATATTTTCCCCAGTACCTTTTTTCCCCAGTACGCATTTTTGCTAAAAAGAAAAAAAAAAAATTAAAACCTTCCACATATTTCAGATTTTTAAGTCCCAGTCCCTTAATTTCTTTAAGTTACACTCAGTAATTGGACATTACCTGATTCTGTAAATCATAAGGGGATAGAATGTCCCACTTAATGTTAGCAAAATCGTGCCATATGGTAACCCATCACATTACACTTATACAGACAGATTGACACATATGAGAACAAATATTACCAGTGGCACCAGAACGTGCTACATGGACTTCGTCAGAAACAAGCATGGGTAAAAGCAGAGGGATGCTAACAAAGCATGAGAACTACTTGCTCTTACTCCTCTGCCATTCCTCCTTTATGTGCTACACTCTTATTTTCAGTGCTCAATTTTCAAACATCTGTTCCACCTACTGTCCCTGAAATAAGGCTGACAGCTTCTATGGGAGGTCCAGTGCCACCACAAAAAAACCACACCCCACTCAAAAAAGAAAAAAAAGAAAAAATCTCTAAATACAGTGCAAGGGTTAACTCCTTTTTGGTCCAAGGCCACATCAGGAGGTAATGGTTAGGGAGCTCCACTTGGAAAATTTTTTTCCATCCACAAATTTTTTATTTGCTTGGAAGCAGCTCCACATAATGACAAATTTTGGCACATCACTATTTTGGGTTTGCATAATAACAGTGCCCATCTTCCTCATAGTATTATCTTTGGGGTTACAACTCACAGAGCTCTATTAGAAACTTTGCAAATGTGTAAGTATCACTAAATATGCCAGAGCAGGCCATTTTCTGAATCAGTATGAAAGTACTTAACTCTTCTGAATCACTGTTGGATAAATATGAACTCTGAAGTTTCTAATCTTGAAACATTTAAGAAAAACTAATCCAAGAAAACCCTGAAAAAAACACAAAAAACCCAAACAACCCAAAATACTTTTACAGCCTCAGTCCTTCAGATGCATCTATCCCCCAAGGAGCCTTTATGGCACCAGCAGCATAGTAAACTATGAAGTTCCTCTCTAAATTGAACAACATTGTAAGCATACCTCCAGGAAGTACAGGTACATAAATCTCTTTACACATATGAATCTCTCTTCCCTCTGAGCTTTGGAAAACACCAAAAATTCCCAAAACCTCTATAATCCCACTAATATTTTTTGCAAATAGAGGTCATCATGAGCTCTGTTAGCTGCATATTATTCCTTGGAAGTACATAAGGGGAATGAAATTCCACCAAATCCACATACACATATGTACAACATCTTCTAATACCAAATCTTCAACAATTCAACTTCCAGTAATCTCACTTCTAGCTGAATTAAAGCCATCCTTCTGTTCTTGATCTGAACAATCTCCCCTGTAACTTCACGTTAGTCAAACCAAAGATACATAGTTTGTGAGGTTAACTCCCAATCAAATGAACACAAGAGTTTCTCAGACAAGCTTCTCAGTAAAATGGGGCTGGAAAAGAAATTCCAACTTTGTTTCCAAAGAGCTAATGCTTCCACAATTTTCTAGTTTAAGACAATCTTTTCAAGTTTTTTTTTTCTCTCCCAGTCTTTTCACCGTCAGGCTACTATTGCTGAACACTGTATCTTAAAGAGTAACAGACCGCCTAGCTCTTCCCTGCAGGACATCTACTGAACAGCAAAAACTGATAGCTAAAAAAAGCTAGAGAGTCATAGTGAGTAAGACTTCTCTGTTTATCACACTGGCTAAGACTGACCTTGCTTCTAAAACTGTTAACTGATGAAGGACTGAAAGACTAAACACCTGGGGGCAAAACAGATGGTCAGTTACCTGTGCATGTTCAATACCTCCCAGACTGAGCTCTCCATATACTACCTAGGACTCCTAGTTCTGTTTTCAAGAGAAAAATCAGATACAGATCTTGCATACCTGAAAAATTTCATTAGGTTCACTGGCATAATTCTATGCAGGGACCAGGATCCAAGGCTTGAAGTCAGAAGACTCTAGTGAAGGTCTGGGACTTATGTTTCATTTGTAGTGTGAAGTCACTGATGTGATTACACCATACAGGATAAAGGACACTTAGAAGACACTCTGATTCCCAGTGCTCTCTAACAAGCAAGTTATTTCTGGCAACAGATTTCACTACAATACCTACTTGAGGAATACACCTGCTTAGACATCATGCATACAACAGCTGGGGGAAAAACCCAAAAACCAACACAGACTTTCTCAGAATTTGTTTCAAGAGAAAGAGCTAGCTGGTGGTAACTTGTTTGCCTTGCTCCTGCAAGCTATTTAAGATAAAATATTTGTGAAGAAAAGTTTTTCAGGAAGAGGAATCATCCCAGTATAGCAGAAAGTTAAATTTTATTAATTTCTTTAGAAGAGAAAGCTCCACATGTTTGAGTTTCTTGTTTCACAGATGCTTAACTTCTCAAAAACTGTCCTTGGGACTGCCAAGACCCATGTGAATTGGGAGCCTGGTATGGAAACAGACAGCTGCTTGATTTCAGCAACATTTTCACGTGATGGTCATTGCCATGGCTCACAAGCACCTAAACAACTTGGGACCTCTGCAGGAAGCAAGACACCAATGCAGGAGTGGACCTTTAACTCTGGAGTCATCATCAGAGGCTGGGAAGGTCAGCAGGGCCAGGGGAGTTCTCCCACCCCTCTGAGCACTCTGACTTCCCTACTTTCCATCAGTTAGTCCAAGCAGACTGCCTTAACCATCCAGCAGGGCCTCCTCTTCCTCATGAAGAATACTTCCGACCTCTTCGCTTGCTCAGTTTTTACGGTACTTCTCAGGTTAGAAAGCAGAAACGTGAGTATGGGTATGGCCCCGCGGGGAACCACGCCAGGACCAGCAAGTGACCACCATCCTTCTCCTGAAAAAGGGCATTCTCTACTTTCTGGGACATCAGAATGAACTCCCATTTTAATGTCTCTTGCCCGTATCAGACTTTGTCAACTTTCGATAAAGTTCTGGGTTTTCCTGGCACCCAGAGGAAAGGATCACAGCTCCCCACAGGAGCCCGTGCACTTTAACATAAACGACAAAGAACAACTACTGTATTTAAGTCCCACAGCGCAGAAGGATTTTTCAGGCTGTTGGGTGAAACTACTACAAGCAGTATTTGCACTCTTTGCTCCTAAAACTGCAGCTTCGGAGTTCAACGCTGAACTCGAGCGCAGGTCTTGCCCGAGCGGGGGTGGGCGTTCGCGCTCACTTCAGCCTGGAGGCGGAGCCCCCTCGGTGACTCTTCCCCGGGCACTTCCAGGCCGACGCCCCAGCAGCGCGGCCCCAGCGCTCGGGGCTCCCCCGCCGCCCCACCCGCAGCTCCCGCGGCCCCGGCGCTGCCCGGCGGGCGGCCCGGGCACAGCCCCGCGCGGAGCCCCCCTCCCGGCGGGGCACTACTCACAGCCGCGGAGCGCCCCTGTTCTCCCGCCGCCCGGCGGCCCGCGCTGCCCTCGGCTCCTCCGCATCGCACCGCGGCTCGGTCATGAGCACCATCAGCACGGGCAGCAGGACTCACCCCGCCGCCACAAGGCACTCCGCCACCGGCGGGCCGGGCCCGCTCCGCCCTCGCCGCCCCGCCCCGGGGCGGACCCGTCGCCGCTCGCGCCGGCAGAAGCCGGAGCCGCCACAAACCGGTTGGGCCCGCCCGGCCGGGCCGGCGCCGCCCGCGCCGCGGAGCTTGTGAGGGATGCGGTGCCTCGCTCCCCGTGAGGCCGATCCCTTACGAGCTTTAAATTATTCAGTCGGGACGCTGTCGCGTGAGACACCGGCTCCCGCCGGCTCCAACAAAAGCCGTCCTTAATGTTTTATAGGGGGATACAGGAGATACGCTGTTTGACACAGACGCAGTCCGGGGGGAAGGTGGCGGTGGCCACGGCCCTGCTTTCTGTCAGCGCGCTTCCTCGGTGAGTTGTGGAAGTAGGCAGTAGTCCAAATACTGGCCTGAGGACTGTTCTACTAAGGTGAACTTATGAAATGATTAGCTGGTATTTCCATCTGCGGCTTTACACCTTAACCAGACAAGTAGGCAGTTATGCTTCCTTACTCAAGAGCAGCACCCCATGCTGCTTTGCACAGAAAAATCACAAACCCACAGAATAGGTGATGTTGGAAGGGACCAGTGGGTCCAGCATTCTGGTTCAGGCAGGAGTATACGAGAATGTGTGGCACAGGATTGTGTCCACATAGTTCTTGAATATGTCCAGCAAGGGTGACTCCACAACCTCTTTGGGCAACCTGTTCCAGTGTGTGGTCACCTGCAGAGTAAAAAATTATTCCTCATGTTCAGGTGGAATTTCCTTTGCATCAGTTTCTGGCCATTGCCTTTCCTATTGCTGGGCACCAGTGAAAAGAGCCTGGCTCTGTCCCCTTGGCATTGATGAGGTCCTCACTCAGTCATACTTTCTTCAGGCTAAGGTGCCTTTACTCAGGCGAGAGGACTGGAGCTAAGCTCCGGACTCATGATCAATTTAGTCCTTCCTGCTGGACATCTTCAGGAGTTTCTAGTCTTGTATTTAGGAGCCTTCTACTGGACAGACTACTCCAGATAACACCTCACCAGGGCCAAATAGAGGAGGACGAGGATCACATCGTCCAACCTGCTGGCACTGCTCCTCTTAATGAAACCCACGATTTCATCAGCCTGCTTGGCTGCAAGGACTCACTGCTGGCTCTGGAGAGCTTGTTGTCCACCAGGACTCCCAGGTCCTTCTCTGCAGAGCTGCTTTCCAGCAGATTTGCCCTCCAACCTGTGCTGCTGCACTGGATTATTTTTCTCCAGGTGCAGGACCCTGCACTTGCCTTGGCTGAATTTCAGCAGGTTCCTCTGTGCCCATCTCTCCAGGCTGCTGAGGTCCCTCTGAAGGGCTGCACAGCCCTCTGGGCTATCGGCCACTGCTCCCAGCTTTGTGCTGTCAGTGAAATTGCTGAGGAAGCCTCTGCCCTTCATCCAAGTCCTTGATGAATAAATTAAAAAAGACTGGGCCCAGTATCAAACCTTGGGAGATACCACCACTGACAAGCCTCCAACTAGAGCTTGTGCCACTGATTGTGACTCTGGGATCTGCCGTTCAGCCAGTTCTCAATTCACCTCTCCATCCTCCTCTTCAGTCCACTCTTCCTGGGTTTGCTTGTTAGAGACAGTGTCACAAGCCTTGAAGATCCACTGCTCTCTCCTTGTCCATCCATGCAGCTGTTTCATTGTGGAAGGCAATGAGGTTGGTCAAGCATGATTTGCCTTTAATGAATCCATGCTGACTACTCCTGATCACCTTCTTGTCCTCCCTGTGATAGAAGTGGCCTCCAGAATGAGGTGCTCCATCACCTTTCCAGGGACTGAGGTGAGGCTGACTGGCTGATAGTGCCCTGCATCCTCTTCCTTGCCCTGTTTGAAGACCGGGGTGACATTTGCTTTCTTCAGTCCTCAGGCACTAGTCCTGATCACCATGACCTTTCAAAGGTAAGGAAGCAGAGCTATGATGTCCGTCAGCTGTCTGAGCACTCCCTTGTGCATCCTACTGGGGCCCGTGGACTTGTAGATGTCAAGTTTCCTTGGGCCTGTGCTGGCAGAGCTGTGGGACAAGTTGAGTGCCCTCAGGAAGGCTAGATTTAAGGCAGCACTTGCCATGGTGGGCACTAACTGTGAAAAATGTCTTTACTACTTGGTTAAGTAAGTTAGGTTTCAGTTTGATGAATTATGTTTTAATAAAGCTTAAATGGACTCTGTGGTTTAAAGTATGCAATCAAAGGAGAGAAAATCCTGGGATGAGAGTTCAAAGTAACCTGTCTAGGCAAAGGTCTATTTTCATGTTTTAATAAAATTATGAATAGAATAACTTCCTAAGAGCTGACTATTCACATGAGCTAAAGGGAGAATATGTGCAGTAGAGTGGTTTCTTTTAGTGAATATCTGTGTAGGAGATCGATACTAATGTACATTTCAGATTGAAAAGTGTACGAAGCAAATTAATCACCTTTGGATATTTAGTCTTTAGGGCACACAAGAAAAAAGTTTTAGGTATAGTTGCAATACTTTCAGGAAATCAGTGATAAAAAGGAGATGTTAATGGTGAAATGCCTCAAGACTGCCATAGCTGCTTGGGCACACAGATCCTGCAAAAAATGTGAGATTGCTGTATGATTTTTTGCTAGACCGTGTGGGTTTAATTGGCTCCAGTACAGGAAAATTTAAAGACTATATGCTAAGATGTATAGAATGGAAGACATTTAAAATGACTGTATTTCTGGGAGACACCATTAACTACTGTTCACATAGTATTTAATATAAATGTCAAGGCATATGTGGAAAAGAAATGAGATTTAATTTACAAGGGAGATTATTCAGCCTGTTAGGCCCTGTGAAACACTGATTGCTGCTATTATTCCTTGTGGAACCCCTGAGTGCACTTGGCACTGCTTTGCAGAGCCTCTCCCACCTCCTAACACCAGATACAACCTGTGGCAATATAACAGCATTTTGTTTATCCAACCATAACAGAATAGGAGCCATTTCAGCTGCCTGGACTATGAATAAAGCTGGCACTGAAATGGCTGGGGAAGGCATCATGTGTCTCTTCAGGCCCTTTTCTTGGGTGCAGAAACCTGTGTGAGGTTTTAGGTACTCTGGGGATTGTGTAAATGTGCACTAACAAGGCATACACAGGATGATTGGAATCAGTAGGAAAAGTGACTGCCTATCCCTGATCTTGTTTTTGGAGGCTTTTCATTGCACTAAAAATGTAATTGCTAATTTAGTCCTAATTTTGAGGCAGACTTGTGGTTGAATAATTCCTGTGTAACTATATGCAGTTCAGCAGAAGTGCTGTTTTTAGTAGGTGAGAATGTGACTTCTAGATATTTGAATAACTAAAATTTGTTTTCTTTTGAGTGGTTAGATTTTCAGTCTGTCAGCTGTAACCACCTCTTTAGGAGATAAACACTGCCACTGACTGTTCTGTTCATTCATTGCCAGAGGTTCCTGTCTTCACCTCAGTGGTACAAGAACTAGAAAGGAGTTGCTTGATCCTGGAGCTCAGTCTCTCTTTTAGTTTCATCTGACTCAATTCTCAAGGTGTGCACAGCTCTCTGATTTAAATAAATCTGTTTTAGTCATTTAGTGCAGAAGAAACTTACATTAAAATAAATTGATGCCTAAAGCCTCGACACTAAAAAAAGGAATCCTTGCTTAGTTATTTCTTCCATATAATGATATCTTAAGTCTTGTCAGAGACTTGGTTCTGGCAGATTGGTGATAAATGTGTCCTTAGTCCAGTTTGCTCTTATCTGATAATGACAGTGGAAGTAATAAGCAATGAACCAGGATTATAGCTTGTGGGTTTTTTTTAGGATTTGAAAAAGAAACTCTGTGACCAAGCTCTGTCAAACTGTATAAGGTGCAGCAACTTCAGAGTGAGAGGGGACTCTCCTGAGTGATAAAAGCTCTGAATACCAGGATTCTCAGGAATATTCAGGGAGCAGTGCCTTATATTAAACAAGCAAATGTGGGACTGCTCATGTGAGTGGAACATACTTGAAAACCATATGTTTTTATTATGATCAAGTTATACATAGAAAGGAAAAGCACAGAGGACCTTTTACTGTAATGTGGTAATTGCTCATATATACAGATACAGTAAAGCAAGTATTTGAAGATCAAGCTGTCAACAACAGACTCCTTGTGAGAAAATCTGGGCTGTGTTTTTCTTTAACTGGTGAAGGGCAGATTGGGGAGAGAAACAGAAAGTTGTGTACTATAAAGTTACTAATTACTTTTTAATGTCTGCAGTACTAGTGATGCTGTATAGACTAAAATTCACATGTTCCTACTCTGAAGAGTATATTAAATCTTAGAGGGGATTCAGGGTTTTCAGTAATTAGAACCTTCAACATTATGTGTAAGATGACAAAAGATGAAAAATTAGGGATGGAACAATAGGGAAAACTTTCAATGCAAAATAAAAAGATTTATGATACATATGAAATCAGAGAAAAGCAGAGACTCACTGAGTCATTGAGTTCATTTCCTGTCCTGAGTTAAGGCCTGCTATTCTTGTGTCACTCCTGGCAAGATTCCTGTCTCAGTTGTTCTTAAAAGTCCTAAGTGTGCCCAGGCCACCAATTCCAGTGTTTGCTATCATCCAGGGCACAATGGATGTCCTCAATCCACAACATGGTCTTGAATCCTTGTTGGTGAAATCTAAATCTAAAGCAATTACTTCTTTATTTATTAAATATGAAGAACAGTGAAAACCTGTCTATTCTTTCTTATCATTTTCATTTTATCTGTAGTGTCAGATAAAACATATAAATTGTGGCTTTGGACTTCTTTATTTTTCTTTTTGTTTTTTCTTCTATGAACTGTCTCTTGTAGGTTTAGGTGTTTTCTGAAGCATGATCCCTCATACTCAACACCAGTAGTTCTATGAAGCTTATATAAAGAGGAGTTTAAAAGATTACTTCATCTTTCCTATACATGGTACCACTGGTCATATTTTGTGGTAAAGTCTTAGTGTTTCACAACAGGTGAGGCTGGCTCAGGTTTAGTATTCAAGCAGTATGACCTAATGAAGCTTTTATAAACGTTAGCTGAGATGCTCTCCTTAGTACATCAGTAGCAGATTGTAAGACTTGATTAAGTATGGCCATCTTGACCATCTACATATCCTTTGTGCATTTTGCTCTTTTTTTTTTCCAATCTGTTTTCTCAATTTATCAGAATAGTTATGAATCATATCTTGAAGGACATGAAGCAAGGAACAGTAAAAGTGCCTAATGAGACACACTGGAGAGGTCAGTATAAAAAGCAGTGAAACTGCTACCCATGCCTAGAGATTCATGGCTAGGATATTGCTGTTGAATGATGAAAAAGACAATCTACCTGGAAATAGCGTTAGAGGCTGTCTTAATC